GGCTATTATTTTTGTCAGAGCAGCCAAGGATATAACAAAGATTCACCTTACACTCAGGTTGTGTCATCATTATAGTGATATATTTTATTTTTCCATGTAAAAGTCTGGTTGAAAATGGACTTAAACTCCATAGTAGTCAGTTTTGATTTCAGCTCCTCGTTCCAGGAGTAAGATCATACAAGGGGGCAGCATTATTTAAAAGCCTTTTTTTCTTCTTAATTTGATCCTGACTCTGGGGACAAACACTTGTAAAAATACTGTGAGATCAAATGTTTCGTCACCTGCAGAGAGAAGCACGATTACTTCCTTAAATACATTAATATTGATTTTTTCTTGCAGCAGAGCACGAATCCATGGATTGATGCCTGTGTGCTACAGACCTGCGGCAAAAAACATGCACACCACATGCATGGACACACCTCCAAGATGCACACTTGAGCATTTATTATGCGTTAAAGTTACTCTGCATTAGACAACAATCTAAATCTCAACCTAAGTATGTCTAATTACTGCCAGCTATGTGGAAACTGGACATTTATGGGCACATTTAGTAGATCAGCACTACAAATTGTAAGCCAGGTGTTTCTGGTAACAGCCATTATTTTAGTCCTGGAAATTATTGATACATTCAAAGTACTGATCCCAGCCAATATTTCTGGAAACACATCACAACTTAAAGCCACGTTTATCTACACTAATACAGACCGGGTAAAGTGTTAGGAAGGAAAGGATACCAGATCATTGGATGGGAATGAAAATGGTCATCTTACAGAGGGCTGCATTCAAACACACCCTGGAAATCAAAGTGAACAAATGATGTGGCAAGCTAGTGCATTTTGCAAAAATTTCATTGCAGCAACATTGAATGGTACTCTAGTTTGTATGGCCCCATGTGCTGATATGCATGCCTGACAACATCTGGGAATGTTCCTGATGTCACGGGGACTCTCTACCCAGACATCAACACCAGTGTCCTGCTGGAGGTCATTTGTAGCTCTTGCAGTGCTCTTCCTGTTTGTCCTTGCACAAAGGAGCAGATAGCAATCCTACTGATGGGTTAAGGACTGCCTGGATGTCCTAGAGTAACTGTGTGTCTCCTGGAATCTCCTCCTTGCTCTTGAGGCTGTGCTGGGAGACTCAGGAAACCTTCTGGAAATGACATGTGCCATTAAAACACCCTCTGGCTATGGCCCAATCAGTAATCATAACTCTAATACCTCAGTTAACAGCATTTGATTGGCATTTAAATTTCTATCTTCAAGCGAGAATAGAAATAGAAATGCTTTACATTGAGAAAATCGTTCACCATAGATGTAGTGATGAGACAAGCAGGCATGTTATTAGTAAAGGTGTGTTTGGAAATATTGGGTGTTAACACCCTGATTTACCAAAGTTCACACTGGAAGTGCTCAATATTTCTGTGTCAGGGCTGTTAGAGTTCAACCGTCTCACCTAATATACCTAACATACAATGCAAAGTATGGTAGAGCCTGCTGCTATCATGCGTAGGATTAAGAAGTCCAAAAAATGTGTAGCTTTTAAGTCTTTGAGTTAAATTAAAGATGGGCTTTAACCTGCCGTCCAAAAATTGTACTGCTCATACCGACAAACTAATCCGGTATTTGGATGTGGTCAGAGAATTGTTGTGTTTTTCCCTACTAAATGTGTAAAAACTCTGCCATTTTAGTCCCATCATGGCGATGACTCATTTTGACAGAGCTGCTAACTCTCTGGGGTTATAATCCAGATGATTATTTGAGATGAAAAGCCTCCTAATTATCCAAGTATTAGACCGCCATGGCTGCTGCTAATGCCTGGATGAGGAAATATGAGCAGTCCTCTAATTTCCCATAACAAGAGAACCATCATGTCAGCCTCCATCATTCCTGACAGAAAGAACCCTGAAGACAGAGTCCATGCTGGGTACAATTAGTCACATATCCATACCCAAAAGGATGAAAGGCAATTGGATGAGGAAAAAAAGCAATTTCCTTATGTAAGCACCATGTAAAACATGCCTGGGCATCATGTAAGGCTGGGGATTTGTCAGCTCTTTAATTCCCTCCACTTCAAAGTGGCAGCGACAGACATGCGATGGAGCTGAAGAGGATGGAGGTCTTTATCTGTACAGTGGCTTGCACAATCCAACATCCCTCATGGCCTTATGGATTAAAAAGAAATAAAGATTATCTGAAGCACCGACAACATTTTGTCCTGGATATGAAGTGAGGTAGACATGGAGAGACAAAACAGTACAGACAAAAGAGCGGATGCCTGTGCACAAGCAGGACACTGTTGTGTGCTGTTGATATGTCACAGCTGAAGCAAACGTAGTGTAAGGACTATTTATCATTTATTACTATCATTAAAGTGGAGTTAAATTTGTCTGAATCTGTTGAAAATGATTATATTTCTGGGCTGATGTGACCCCTCCAGCAGTCACTGCTGTTTTTTTTGTAGCTTTAACACATAATAATCTCCTGAACATTTCATATGATTGTTGGGTTATCTATGTAGGGCCTACCTTACAATATAAAGCACCTTGAGGCGACTGTTGTTGTGCTTTGGATCTGTATAAATAAAACTGAATTGCATTGAATCTGCAGAAGACATAACTTATAGACATTACAGTCCTGTTTTATCTTATGTCAAACACATTAAGAGTATATTAACACAGGGACAGTTACAGAGAAGATACTTAGATTGGGGGATTTAAATAGAAAACTGTTTTATAGTATTGCTTTTACTGTATCACAGCTGATTCTATTCTTGACCAACAGAAAAAAAGACTCTTTAATGTTAGAATCCACAAAACATAGCTGTGTGTAGTGATTTTAACAGACTGTAGTGGTAGACAAAGGAAAAACACCAAGCTGCTCAGTGGAAACTTATTGAAAAAGCACAACGCTGGGGATGGGAATAATAGAGGCTCAAGTTGGAGGCTCAGTATACAGTAGCAGATATTTCCCCGTCGCAGAGTTATGCAGGAGGGAAAAAAAATAATGGCATTCTTAGATTTTTGTGAGCAGTTTGAAGCCACATGACAGATTGGCAGCCTCTCCAGGGTGTGCTCTGCCTCTTGCTAAAAGCCCCCCAGCAATCCTGGCTGGATAAGTGGTTAGAAAAAAGAAATGATAGAAGCATTACGGGACTACAAGTGCATTTGATTATGTAACCCTGTGATTAAAATGATGAATAAATAAACCTTGTACCTTGAAGGTCATTACATTTTAAAAGGGTTGCCAGTTTTACAGTGAATCCATAAAGTATTCACAGCACTTCACTTTTCCACATTTCCTCATGTTACAGCCTCGTTCCAAACTGGATTCAATTCATTTTTTACCTCAAAATTCAGCACACAGTATCCCAGGCCTGACTGAGGATTGGTGTAGAAATGGTTGTCTTTCTGGAAGGTTCTCATCTCTGCACAGAGCAACACTGGAGCTCAGTCAGCGTGACCATCAGGTTCTTGGTCACATTACGGACTAAAGTCCTTCTACCCCGATTGCTCAGATTGGCCGGGTGTCCAGCTCTAGGAAGAGTCCTGAGCTCTTCCATTTACAGATGATCGAGGCCACTGTGCTTATACCCTTATACTCCAGATCTGTGCCTCAGTATATAAAAACAAAAACATGTGACTCTCACTAAACAAATGCCAGGGAACTGCTGTGAATACTTTCTGGATGCACTGTAAGGAAAAGTTCAGGGTCATCTGATCAAGCTCCAACTTTACGAAAAATGAAGGCTTTAAGTCTAATCCCAAAACCCTTAAGAGAGGGTGTCTGTCTCCCGAATCCAAAGTGGGATTTGGTTCCACAGAAGAGGGGCCTGAAAGCTGAAGGCTCTGCCTCCCATTCTACTTTCATGAACCACATTAGGAAACAGTCTGAGAGCAAAGTGCTCTGTTATGGTAGAAATAGATCCAATTCATCAAGACTTTATATTTAAAGACAACAATTTTCAATTCAATTCTGGATTAACAGGGAGCAAATGAAAAGAAACTAATATCTAGTCCTTGTCTTGCTGCAGTGTTTTGGATTAACTCAGGCTTTTAAGGAACTTATAGAGTGACCTGAAAATGAAGTACACTAGTCCAGCCTTGAAGTGATGAATGCAATAATTAGTTTTTCAGCATCAGCAAACAGTCCTACATATTTGTTTAACATTGTTACGACTGATGCCATGAGGTGTTGTTTATCATGTAAATCTTGTTATCTGATTATAGTTTTCACCTGTTTATCTTAGTTAGGGAGGTAAATTATTGTAATTAGGTTTGCTTACTTTGATGAGGTAAGTTTGATGGAGATTTCAGATAGTTTCCCTTTGTTTGTTGTTTTGGTATAAAGTCCATCTGGAAGTTACATCCAGCTCCATTTTTAGGGCTAATTACAATAGCCTGTTTTATCTGAATTTAGAAGCAGAAAAAGATTTTTATGTCTTTAAGACATTTCTGCAGTTTAACCATTTGCTGTGTATCACCTGGCTTCACTGATAGATAAACCTGCATAGCAACGAAAATGTATTCTGTGCCTTCTAATAACACTGCCCAAGGGAAGCGTCTATAATGTAAATGTAAACCCAGACACTGACAGCCATTAACCCTGATAACTGCAGCAAGTCGCCATACAAAAACATGAAATCAAAAGCTGATTAAAACAACCTTTAAGCTTATAATAAACCCTTTCAGTTTTTTCACGTCGAGTTGATCCAGTGAGCTCGACTATTATTTTACGTTGCATTTCTGCTCACTGAAAAACAGGATCAGGCCAGGAGTCCTGACATTTTTGAGTCACACAGGTGCAGAGACCTGCTCCACATGTGCTGTGTCATCTGAGAAAGATTAAACTACAACAAAGTGAGACGAGGATTATCAGTGAAATCCGCACCCAACCCGAATAGGGCAGCAACATTCATTTAGATGAGGAAAAGGCAAAGACAGCTTGGATTTGAGAGGTGGCATTAAGCTCCTCGTGGACAGAAGAAAGAATCCTGAAGTCAGCTTAAACTGAACAACTTTTATTTCCCGTCAGACACACAAATTATTTTCACACTTTATGAAGTCTTGTATGTAACTTGTACATTGTCTCTTAATCATGTACAAATATAACAATGCCTCACATTCTTCTACTTTTATTTAGATAAAAAGTCTTGAAGTTGTCACCAAACCGAAAATGAAAGCAGGGCAAAAAGATGTAGCCGGTCTCATCCAACCTGAACGTCACTTCCTGTACAGACATTTGTTTTTTTAACGTTTATTTGAGCGCTGATCAACAACTCTGACCTCTCGCGAATCATGCAAAGTTATGATCCATTAGTGTTAGATCCTGTAAAGTGCTACAAGTAATCACAGTGTACTGTGTCTGACACACCAATTCAACATTTCAAAGCAAAACAGGCATTTATGTTTTGTAGCTTCATAACGACAGTTTTATCTTTTTAACGCAACTATAACGCCAGTGAGTCTGGATCTTGAGCTTAGTTGGAATTATTCAAAATACGTGTTTTTTTCAGTAAAACAATCAATAAAGTCGCTTCCTGTTGTGAAAAAATGTTCTTTAGGGTGTAAAAGAATCTCTTCTGAAGTATTTACGCTCTACAAACCTTGATTGACATGTTCAAAACATGACACGTTTTTCCCTAAATAACGCACTCGCGTATGCTTTTTACAATCAATTACGTCCATAAGCGATCTGAAGCCTGCTCGTGACTTCTAACGGTTTTGATGCAATTTGCATTTCTGACAGCTGTCTTATTGTTTTGGGAAAACAGAAGAACTATTTGCCCACAGTGAAGGACTGCAATCCAGTGATGGCTCTGCCCAGGATCAGGGCATGGATGTCATGGGTACCTGGAGGAGGAGATAACGCAGGGGTTACTCATGTGGAGGTGGGGGCACAGATGGCTGCTGCTGGGGATTAATGCGCTCCTACAAAACGACTCACTTAGTGATGAGGCAATTTAGTTAAAATGGACTTTTTTTTTTGTGCATAATCTACTCAATCAAAACCAAACCTCGTAGCGCACTTAAACACATATTCAGACTGTCAAACAAGCCCTCACCTTCATAGGTGTTGACAGCCTCCAGGTTCATGACATGGCGGATGATGTGGTACTCGTCGGCTATCCCGTTTCCTCCCAGCATGTCTCTGGCCTGCCTGGCGATGTCCAGGGCTTTACCGCAGCTGTTCCTTTTCAGCATGGATATCATCTCTGGAGACGCTCTGTTAAGGAAGCAACAGATTTGTTAAGCATTGTTTTTCAATGAAGTGTGAATGAAGTTGTGTTTGTATCTTTTTACTGTACCCAATACCTTCACATGACTACACTACAGACACCCAAAATGAGACTGAACCTTAGGTAATCAAATATTTATCATTTCGATGACATTCAGGCTCTACTCTTTTAGCTTTCAGCCCTTTATTGACTCACGACACTTCTGAGACGCACTGAGGGATGTTTTTCCCCTCGTCACCCTGACAGAAAGAGACCACAGCGACTATTTAGTTTGAAGGATGGCAAGAGGTGCTAAGAGTCTGCTGCATCCCATCTAATGCCCTTTAGTTAGAGGATAGAGGTGCTTTTACTTCTTCTCATCAATAAGTCTGCCCAGCTGCAAACAGGACTGCAGGCCGATGGCGATTTCTGTCAGCATGTCAGCCATTTTTTTCTGCATCAGCTGATTTCTTGCCAATGGTACTCCAAATTGGATTCTGTTGTGGAATAAAAAAACAAAAACAATGTTATTAAGAATAATTAATACACTACATTAAGATAAGTAAATTAAATAGAGTTTAAAAACGTGGATTAAAAAAAAATGTCATTGTTCATCTGACCTGTCGAGCGTGTACTGACGAGCTGCATGGAAACAGAACTCTGCAGCACCCAGAGCACCCCATGCGATACCGTAACGGGCGTTATTCAAGCAGCCAAAGGGACCCTACAACAACAAACAGTAGTCATGAGTGACAGAAACTATTCAATTAATAAGTAATAAGTTAGTGATCGCATAAAACAAAGGGATGAAATAACATTTTCTAAACATGCTACTATACCCACCCCCAGGCCGGATACTTTAGGCAGCAGATTCTCCTCAGGAACCTCCACCTCGTCCATGAGGATCATCCCGGTGGCCGAGGCTCTCAAGGAGAACTTCCCTTCGATCTTTGGTGTCGAGAGGCCCTTCATGCCGCGCTCCAAAATAAAGCCGCGAACCTTCCCGTCGTCGCATTTGGCCCAGACTACGGCTATATCTGCCACTGGGGAGTTGGTGATCCTGAAAGAGAAAACAAATGAAACAATATAAAGACACATGACAACTTTTGTTTGTTTTTTTATAAAGCACACAGAACACCTATATTTTATAGTATCATACTGTAGCTTTGTGGATGGTTCTTACCATAAGAAATCAACCAGTTTTGACCAATTACAAAAAAATGTCACGATTTTTTTGGGGGTAAATTTATTGTGTTACAAGATGTAAATTGCACATAAAGGTTTACAGAATTAAATTTTATTTTAACTGCTAAACAAAGATAGGATAGGTATGGCCCTGAAAACAATAAAAACGACCCTAGTAAACTTTAGTATTAAACACTACACTGTTACTGTTTTAGCTGTGAAGAGCTCCCCCGTGTGTACATCTAATGACACAACACACTAAGTAGGAAAATTCTTAGAGGTTACAAGAAGTGAAAGAAGATCAAAAAACAAACCCACACTCACACACACACACGCGGTTAAAACCGATTGTACCAGAACAAACAAGTCAACTCTGTTTATACTTTGCAATTTACAGAGAAAACATTCAGAATATTATGAATACAATCAACATGTCATATATTTACACTTAGAAAAACATGATAAGGCAAAGATGGACACATAGGCATTAATGGGGTGCATCTCTCAAAATAACTTCCAAACGCATTATTAATCCTTCAAGCCCTCCTGTCAAAGAGCCAATCATCTGCTTTCTTGCAGCCAGGCCAGCAGACACATGCACGTGGTTGAGAATTTGCACTGCATTTGCTCGGTGTTCTTGTGGGATGAGTCAGAGCTATCGTGTGAGCCCTGGCTGAATAAAACTGAGTAATACTGTAAATTATGCACGTGTCGAACAAGTAATGTCGGTTTTGGAAAATACTTTTAAACCTTATTTTGGGTCAAAGTTACCACCAAACAACTTTTCAGTAGATTGTATACAATTCTACCAGGATTTCTATGCGGGAACCACAAAACTGCACACTTCCAGTAATTTAAATATGTGGCGTGAGCTTGTTAACCCAAAATAACTGGCAAACGTATTTTTAATATGGCTGCTGTGTGGTTAGATGTGTCCTAGAAGGACTGTGACACTGCTTACCATGTCTTGGAGCCAGTCAGAGTGTAGGTGCGACTGGATGGATTGTATTTGGCTCTGGTTTCCATGCCTCCGGGGTCACTGCCATGGTTAGGCTCCGTCAGCCCAAAGCAACCCAGGATCTCTCCACGAGCTGGGGCAGAGTGGATCACACAGTCAGTAAGACGTATACCTGAGAGCTCATGAGGTCTGCATTGGAGTTTCACAGTTAAACCGTCAATATCAGAATTATTGTTGATAAAGTATTTTTACTCTTTTCCCTTCTTACCCAACTTGGGGAGGTACTTTTGTTTCTGCTCTTCTGTTCCATAGGCATTAATGGGGTGCATCACCAGAGATGACTGCACGCTCATGGCTGAACGATAGCCGCTGTCCACTCTCTCCACTTCTCTGGCGATCAAACCATAGGCCACGTAGCTTGTCCCAGCACAGCCGTAACCTTAGCATTCAACACAGGAAGAAGAGCAGCAGTGACAGTGCATAAAATGAGGACATATCTGTGTAGATTCTCAGTCATCCAGGTCATAGAAGCTTAAAGAGCTTGGAAAGAAAGCAAAATACAGTAACTCTCTTTCCAAACACTTTTTAGACATACAAAAAATAATGTTAAGTATTATATAAAAAGAGGAAAAAAGTGTAAAAGGCTAAAACGTTTGTTATTGAGACTTCCCAAAAGCAAACATTGCACACAACTTCAGTGTGCACAGGTCCACAGTCCATGCTGTGTCATTAATGTACAAAAAAAGAAAAGGAAGAAAAGCCTGCTTTGCAACTGAAGTACGATTAGAGTTTACAGCTTTTCATTAAAACCAACACGTGACTGGACTGACCTTTAATAGTTGGACCCAGGACACCCATCTCTCCCATCTCTGACACGATTTCTCTGTGGAACACTTGACATAAAAATGACAAAACCAGACATGATGTGCAGTTATGTAGCCAACACGTGTGTAATACAACACTAAATGAGCAATCTAATTGCATATACATGTGGGTAAATAAAAAGCTCTCTCTCACCTTCGTTTCTGTTCGCCATCAGGATTCGAGGCATGAGTTTCTCTTGACAGTAGGTCCGGAAGGAATCTCTGATCATGATCTCCTCCTCAGTTAACTGACCCTCCAGGTCCAGGGCATCACGCCAGTCGAACTGGACCTTCGCTATCAGGCATTTAGAGAAGCAATTTAATACTTAAAGTCTAAAAAAAATGGTTCTGGGTTAAAGGTACAATTTACAAATGTTATTCAGAATTTTTTCTTAAAGTGAACACGTACGTGCTTTAGGCTTCTGCTCTGTGTTCTCTGCATCTGTGAAGGAACAACAACAACAACAAAAACACGCAGCAGAAAAACATTAATACTATGAACTAAGGATTTGTGACTATTTAATATATCCTAATATACGATAAAATATTGTTTTTTTCCCTCTATAAAAAAAGCAAATGTAAATGCAAGTGTCATTTCGAGAACACTATCTGAACTGAAGGTATATTTATTTCGGTATCAAGCGCAGCTTCAAATTTAAAACCATTGTATTTCTCCCTGTGGCTGTCAACTTTAAATGATAAATCTGAACATCATGCTGATCATAACGACACGTACTAACCGTGTGTGATAGGTGCTGCAGTTCCCTGTGCTCTGGAAGCTGTGGTGAGAGCACATCTGTGAGGGTTGACTAAGAGACGACACACAGCGCTTCTCAATGCCATGACGAAAACGGGTCTAGAAAATAAGAAGACCATTAAGATCCACGATTCTTTATCACTTAGGCTAGTCAGGCTAACCAGTGCTACATTAGGTAACTTCTGTAGCTAAAAGCTAACAGCGCTAGTTCACTACTAACTTGGGAATTAATGTGCTAATTTCCAAATAGCTAAAATAAAAATGTATTCTGTGTTGAGAATAACTGTTAATACTCCAATGACAGCCGTAAGACCAAGTTTTACCTGCGTCAAGTGGAACAACTTATCCTCGACCTAGCTCTTCTTAGGTTCCCTGGATGACTTTTACATGACTGGACGTAAACACATTCAGTCTACGTCATCACGCAAAGGCCGTGACAAGTGTGGCATAATGCCTTAACCATACGCCTCTGACTGAACAGTACTCCACTATTCCCACATAGAATCAATCATCTTTCTAATGAAGGTTACACACATAATATCCGAGACCAAAAAGGTAACACTACAACCGCTCGGCTTATTTGTGGCCATTTATTATCACTGAAAATGACCGACTTTAAATGACTCTTCGGCAGCTGTAGCGCACTCTGATTGGCTCATTAGCGGGGGAGTGGCAGTTTGTGCTCCCGTTTCCCAAAATAAAAGCGTGATCGCTACAAGGAAAGATCATGTCAACACCCTAATTCCAGGAAGTGGACGCCACATCATAATTTCGTTTTTCGTTTGTTTTTTTTGTTTTTTTTAAGATTTTTTTTTTCAAATGTATTTTACTATCAATTGAGGAATTTTAAAATAGAGCAGTTTAGTAATTGTCTGCTCCCTAATAACATCTCCTTTCAATTCAAATCACTTTTATTTGGGTAATGCCAAATCGCAACAACAGTCACCCTTTATAAGGTAAAGAAACTACAAGCACTTGGTGACAGTGGGAAAGAAAAACTTTCTTTTAACAGAAGGAAACTTCCAGCATAAGCAGGCAGGGAGGGGCAGCCATCTGCCAAAATAGGTTGGAGGTAAGAGGACAACACAGTAGTGAGACTTCTGTGAGTATGATTAAGATACCTTCAGTTTATATGTCTCTTGATTTCAAATCACAAGATCTGTTACACCACATATTTACACTTAAATATTGTTTGTTTTATTTGATAGCATCTTAGTTTCTATCAGATTTTTTAAATCAGTGTCAATGATGATGCATATTGTCAATGGATATGCATATTCTTTATTGTTTTTATTTATCTTTTTTCAACTCTTCAAATAGCTGTTCAGCACTTAGTTTGAAAGCATTTTATAAATAAAGTTATTATAGGTTATACAGTAATACTTAAGATATTTTTTTTGAATCCATAGCGTCTGTTACATCCCTCTGCAGCCCCTAATCATCTCAATGTGTTCAGCTGGTGCTAATTGGCCACACCTAGGCAGGTGTGGATAAAAGCATACCTGAGGCAAACTTCCAGGGAGCTCACTTGTCTTTGCCTTGGTGGCACCAGCCATTTTAAAGATAAAACCTCTTCTCACCTACACTCTGGTATTCATCTTTTTTTATGTTGTGGCTTTTGAGGTGGGTAGTAACATAAGTGGGGGCTCTACCGGGAACGATGCTAAAAACAATAAAACCCTAACTTTACCTAGCTAGTCTTCAGTGGTGTACCAGGCTCAAGGTAACTTTAAACGCACCCAGCTGAAACACACTAAAGGGACTTTGCTCAATCACAGTGAACACCATCACTCACCCACTTTAAAAGTCAAACAAACTGATATTCAGTCTCCACAAAAATATCCAAACAATCCTGGACGAGCCCCCACTTATGTTATAACCCAACTCAAAAGCCGCAACATAAAAAAAGATGAATACCAGAGTGTTAGTGAGAAGAGGTTTTTCTTAAAATGGAATACCAGGTTGGTTAAAATGGCTGATGCCACCAAGGCAAAGACAAGTGAGCTCCCTGGAAGTTTGCCTCAGGTATGCTTTTATCCACACCTGACTAGGTGTGCCAATTAGCACCAGCTGAAAACATTGAGGAGATTAGGGGCTGCAGAGGGACATAACAGTCTCAAACAATAAAAAACCCGACTTTTTAAAAAGAAGCAACATAGCCCAATTCAAAAAATCTGTCTTAAAACAGCTCTTGTCATTTCTTGTCTCTTCCTATGCCACAGTACATTTGATAATGTTATTGTTATTGTTTCATGATATCATGTAAGGGTATTCCCCTTCCACAACGCTTTTGCTTTCCATAGCTAAACTGTATTTCGCTCAAAATACTTGAGTGATTTCCTGAAGTAAATTAATTTGTGTCATAGATCTTCCTGCATTCTCTGGATCAAGGGGAGCTGTCGTGACTCATACACAGTGCAGAGTCTGAATAGGTAATGTTAAGACTGTAAGTTGAATTATGAATGAATAAATTGCTTTTATAATTAATGTTGTCTTGGATTTCATCGGCCAATGAATGTTATGCTATGTCATTGCTTTGCTGCATTCTGGTCCAATGAATATGATTTTTTTCACTGTGAATTGGTAATAATATCCGAACAAATCATCAAGCCCTCGTTAAATATTGAGATGAACCGCATTTGCTGCATTGTTATAGACTGAACAAACCCTGTATCACTAACGGTACCAGAAATTAACCCAGTCTCCGGGAACATGAACTCCCGCCTTGGGCATCTGATTGGTTGAATATCCTGTCCATCATGGCATCCCTGATTTTCATTGGTCAGCGCTCTCCTCTGAGGAATCCCCCTTTAAACGTTGGCAGAACGGTCAAGATTTTGGAGCGGACTTATACAAAGCGAGCAAGTTGAGGGAAGCGCAGCACACGGACGTCTGTCAGGGCTGGAAATGCGCTTTAGTGGTCGTACGTGAGCATCTCTGGTCCAGAAGAAACATTCCATAATCATGGAACTGGAAGAGAAATCAAAATACGGTAAATATTTAAAGCCTGAAACGGAGACGCTCACTTCATTTGTCCAAAGTCCTTATCGGCAGTTAATGTAAAACCAAGTTTTATTGCGTTTTTGGAGCGGCGAAAGTAGGTCTCACAATGGTCCCAGCAGCTTTGCTTAGTAAAGTACCTTTCCTCATTCTCGACTTTTAATTTTTCAAGTTAGCACTTTCTCTGGCGAAGTGTCGAACCCGTGTATTGTGTCAAACTAACGCAATGTAAGCTAGCTTTTACTTCTGAGTCAACGTTTTCGGTTACGGGAGCCCTGTTCTGCGTGTGTGTTGTGAAAACACAGGATGCCTGAAGTATGCTGCTATATATTGTCAGGGTGCACAATGCCCCAGTTTGTGTTGTGCTTGTCCAGTTGCTGCCACATTCCTCAGACTGCTATGGCAGGCAGCTCAGCTAACCCAGCGTGCATATAGAGCACAGCGTATTAGAAAATTCCTCAAACAAGTGAAGAGGGTCTCATTTTGTCCACCGAGTGCATTCAGTCTGCTTTGGGAAGGCTATCTTTAGTTTCATTTCAAACGCAGACTCCAACTACAGTATCAGTTGCTTCTCTGTTTTGGCTGTTGTAGTTCGTAATCAGGTAATGTGGGTGTAATTATGCCCCCACTTATCCCAAAATACTTGTTGAAAATGTATTTTTATTCTTGCACATAATAGTAATTGTAGTACAGGTTTCTGCTCAGTGAAGTACAGGGGAAATGGTTATCTATGAAACGAAGAGTGATTTAAGCTAACAAAAAACAACAAACAAACAGCGAAGTGTTTTTTTCCCCATAAAGTCTGTTTTTGGATCAAGAACATGTGCCTTTTGTACAAACTTCCAGTCTCTTCACATGCAGCTTGCAGTTTATACTGTTATCATCAACATGATCATAGGGAGGAATGAAAAGCGAGGCCAGATACTTCTGCTTTCAGTTCCTCCTGCTCTTCCCTGGACACACCCTTTCCCACTTTGCTTGCCACATGATGGCTAATTGATTCAATTTACCTTCCACAGATTGCAATGAATATTGTGTATGTGTGTGTGCCTCTTTGTACAATGTGAGTTTGCTCAGTGTAATTAGTTGCGAAAGTGAGTAAGAATGCCTACAGCCTCTCGAATTCTTTAATATCTTTCAGTGAATCTTTATACCAGCTAAAAGAAACAACTAAAAAAAGAAGAAGAAAAGAACAATAACTTTAATGTTCCATGTGGCAGAAAATGTCAGAACACACTATAGGATCTCCACCAGTTTTATGCGTTGGAGTAATTTCAGGCTGTAATATATGAAGAAACCTCAATGACAGGACCTGAAACAACCATGCAGCCTCGCCCTGGTGCAAGTTAGGCATAATTACAAGCCATATTTAGTAGTGTAGTTTGAAACCTGATTTCCATGCCCCCCTGATCTCTTTGTCATGTCATGTTAGACTATGCTGAAACTACATTCAGATTTTGTTTGGAAACATTTCATCCATTCACTTTCTTTTCATTTTACTTTGTGTGCTGCTTTGACAAAAAAACAAAATAAAAATACATCTATTATTGCAGCCTTCTGTTTGCACTGAACGGTGCCTGATCATACCCTTGCAGACCAATCTGGGTTATGTGACTCTGCTAACAGGTTTGTGGTTTTGTCAGCTGCTTTGAACTGCGAGAGTGTGAGGCACCAAGAGTGAGTTACTGGGTAAAAACTGAGCTATGGTCTTGTATTTATTCTCCCTGGCAGTGTCTGTGTTTGTAGATCACGTCCTTATCTCACTCACAGTTCCTGTTATTATCATCTCAGGACATTGTTCCAATTTGTGCCTGAGTGTTCATGTCATATAAACAAAGTTTTAAACAGCTTCATAGAGACTTACTGTCATCAGCTGGTGGTATTTATAATGATGATTTTCTAGATAGGTGTTACAAGCCTAAGTTGAAATTAAATGTGTGAGTTTCACTTTGCATCATATCTGTAGCAGAAATCTCTTCCTTGCATCTGACAGCAGAGAATAGCAGTTGATAGTTAAAGTTGTTGTGCAAGTGCTCATTTTTGATGAGTTTAAAGATTAGCTGCTGTCTGAAAATACTTCAATTTTCAAAAGAAACCCTCCTCTTGCAAAAGTGGAGTCCAAATCTTTGCAACCATTTCCCAAAGGATCCAACAGCTTGCTTGCATTTTTGCGTGTATTCATTGTGTTGCTTTTTCTGTAATACCGGAAATAGATCTGAACTTGGACTGAAATAATCCACACCCTCTTTCTGTACTGACAGACATGTGGGACACAGACAGGAAGGGCTGTGACCTTTAGCTTCAGGATTTTAAGCTAGTGCAACCAGCGGCAGCCCTTGGTAACGTTATGCAGCTTGAGAGCAAGACAAGCTATTGTTAACATTTCATCTATTTTTACTTTATGCCAGCTGGAGCCTTTCCTAGCCACCATAGAGGAAGATCTAGGGTACACCCTGGACAGTCTGTCGCTGGGCTAACACAGAGAGAGACAGACAACCATATGCACTCACACCTAAAAGGAGTTTAGATTTACCAATGAATCTAACCAGAGAGAGTACCCAAAGAGAACCTACGTGGGGAGAAAGTGGCAACCCCAAACAACAACAAAGATGGGCAGTGTTTCCAATATTGAGATCAGCATATGTCTGCTGTAGGTTTTTACCCATTAAAAGGGAGTTTTTCCTTCCCACTGTTACTAAGTGCATTCTCATAGGGGGTTGCCTGGTTTTCGCTACATTATTGCAGGGTCGTTACCTTACAATATAAAGCACCTTAAGGTGAAGTGTTGTTTTAATTTGGTGCTATAATAAATAAAATTGAAAGCACTGAATTGTTTCTAAAGAATAAAAGTGTAAAATCTTATTTTAGGAAATGTCCTAAATGAATAGCAAGTATATCAGTCAGCTGATAAACAAAAATATAGCTCCACTTGTGTGTTTTGTGCTGCAAAGGGTCAGAATGTCCTTAGAAAACACTCTGAGAAGCTTTCATGTAACTCCAGGATGTGTGGGAAGGTATCAAGAAAATAAAACAGGGAAGCTCAGGAATGTTGGGACACACTAAAGAGTAAATGCTGCACCTGAATAAAAAAATACTGCTGAGAAGAAACAATGGAGGACATGAGCTTTAGCTTCAGTCACAACAATAATGCAGATTGGACTGTAAACCAACAACATTGAAAACCAACATGGCCTTTCATTAGTAAGTTACAGCGCTTCTACATGTGGGAAATGTTATACTTTTTTTTATGCTTCCAGTAAATGCTAGTGTGTCTTGCAGCACACTGGAGAGTATTTATCAGATTAAAACTTCAAATAAAAAATGTGCTTCTTCCCTCACTGCACCGCCCCACGTGTTGTAGCAGCTGTCTGCAGATGGAGGTCATTTCTAATGAGTTACACATGACTGTTCGACCAGTTCCACCACACTTGATTCTAATACCTCAAATCAGTTTCCAAGGAAAAGAGCTGGATCGGTGTCGCCGTGCCAGTTATTGCAACGCGTTTTTGCTGTTTAGAGAAGTACAGGAAACCAAAGGCTCGCAGTGGTAATTCTCTTGTGCAGTAACATTAGCCAAAAAAAAGAAAAAACTAGATGGAAACTTTCATTACAGCTCCCCTTTTTTCTGGTTTCTCTGAGTGTCCGTGGAAAGCATTCGTGGCATTTAGTCTGTCTGTGGACTCTTTGTTAAAATGATGAGTTCGTTTAACACGCTCTGATTGCTTTCGGCTGTCGGAACAAACAGAAGCGGAGAACAAAATCATACAGGCAGGGAACAAAAAAAATCACTAGCTTGTAAGATTTATTGGGTTTCCCCAGTGCAGTAGATCCGTGGGAAGGAAACATATACTATTTTAGTTTTTACTCAGTACTGATGTGTTTAAGCTTGTGAGCTGTCACGTCGCGGCAGGTGACCATTTTACAGCCATAAATATCCCAAACACCTGAATTCAATTAGCGAGAGCATTTAGGCAAACCACCCCCAGATGGAGAACTCCTCCTCTGTTTACTGCAAACACATGTTCCTGATCACATACACAAATGAACTTTAGTCTCCTCCTACTCTTTCACACACCCACACCTTCTTTTACTTCCAGCCTCTCTGTAGATGAGTTAAAGTTGCCTGCAACTTTACGCGGAAACAAGAGGCCGACAGAAATCATGTTTGGAAGTGCTGGGGAGGTACTGTAAGGGGAGATCAAGCGGGAGCACAGGTCGGAAAGAGGCTGCTTTTTTTTTCGGGATAAACAAAGAGGTGTTTGGGGATGGGAATGTGAAATAGGTTGGGTGGGGCATTGGTTGTTGTGCGGCTATTCAGGAACGGGTTGAACTGGTTTCCGACCAAACTACTTGGTTCTCCCCTTACTCAGTCATTTGTGGCAGCAGATAGGAAAGGTGGATGAAGTGAACCAGATAAAGAAGCTGTGAAAAGAAGGAGAAACATTTTTTTGCCCAGGAAGGAATTTCAACATGCCTGAGGGTGGAGAATATTATGGAAAGAACGGTACTGACTTGTTTATCTTTACTTTTGCCTCAACTAGGCACTCTTTCAAAAAAAAATGAGTCTAAGACACGCTGGTGATCACTGGGTAATCTTTAGATTGGCTGTTTACCTTTCTTGTATAGTGCTCACACCTGAAAGTGCAGCGGCAGCCTTGAGACTAGGGGTGTGTTTGTGAATGTTTGTGTGCCACTGCCGGCAGTGGATGTGTGTGCACACGGATACAGGTGTGTGAGGCCACGCAAGTCTCTTATCAGTGTTTTCTCCTGCACTATTGTTACAAGGTTGAATATAGATAACCACCAGAGGTGCAGATCTCTTTCTTGGACTCAATCTGTGTATTTATACTGAAGAACAGAACAAAGTTAAAAACTAAACTTGTTTGAAATATGTTAAAGTTAGATACCAGAACACATACGAAATACAACATCTATGCTCACTATAACAGGAAGTGGTGACTTCTTCAAAAGGCTGTAACTGCTTGTTGCAACATAACCCCACTGATCACATTCATAAGTCACATACGTCAGAGTCACCACAGCTGTTGTGTTTGTCTATACTTCAAGACTCCATATGCTACACATTATTAATAGTGTATGTCTGGGCACTGTTATGATGTAGGTCTGAAGCTGGTGGAGATGTATTTTTGTGGCATAATTGTCACAGTAATGGCAACAGGAAACAGTCCCTCCCAACGCAAGCTAATAGCATTGAAGTTTTCGTTAAGCATGAGCCAAACTGCCCTCCTTCGGCAAACGTTGTTTTTATACCGCTGATTATTCACTGCACTGAAATGCTGACCTTTTTTTTTTTTTTAAACTCTTTAGTCAAAGCAAAGCTATGGACCCACTGATCAGGTCAGCAACAAACCAATGGGAGGTGAGAGTGTTGAAGTTGCCTCCTTCAGCACTGTTTCGCAGATAGTTCTTTGTAATCTCATAGAAAGGTGATATGCCTGGCTGTGAAAGACCAACTGCCTTTTGTTTGTGAGTGTAAGACAAGAAAGAGAGCTGGCTGAAAGGATGTGTTAAAGCACAAAAGCTGAGCCGCTACACCAAAAACCATAGACGGTATAAACGATGGGTATGAAATGTGAAGCTAGCGTGCTGCTACATTAAAACTGGTTGCAAAAGACATTTCCAGTTCTATAGAAGTGTCTGGGAAAAGAGCCCAGGCTGCTGCAAACACTTTCAATTGAGCTTTTGTAAATCTTTCTTATTTTAAGTGTAAGATAGGAGGATTTGCCAGGATATCCTCACTGAAGCACCAACCCTCACTGTCAGGTCTGCTCCTTGCTTGTTTACATCAGGCATCAGGTTTGGGGTGCTTCTTGTGACAATTTAGCATTAAAAGTATAATTTGGATTAAAGAGTTTGTGGATTAACCATTAGAGAATTTGGACTGGAACTGGAACGTGAAATTTGCTTAGATAGCAGACACACTACTGTCAGATAACCTGCAGCAAGCTCAAGTGTTTGCTTGAACCTGCAACTTCAGCTGAAAGAACAGAAAACATAGTCCTTATTATAAGAGACAGCATGTTGCAATCTAACCATATTTAGACAAAAGAAAAAAGTTTGCTCATTTTGTGAACTGGGAAGATGTGTTTGTCTACTGATGAGCATGATAGCTTTGTTTTGACATATTAATTAAATATTAAAACAACAATACTAGCTCCGCTGGTGGCTTTACACATGGGATGTTTGCTCCTGCTGTATTATGAGTTTTATATGAGCTCCCGGTTAGTCAGCAGGGAGGAATTTGATGAGTTTCTGGGCGTGTCTGGCCTTCAGGGGAAGTCATCTGTGAGAAAAATGGGAGGAAGACTCTGTTGCACTGCTCCATGGCCTTGATCCAGCTCTGGTTTTAACATAAATTAATGAGCAGCTATTATAAAGATGTTTACTTAACCCTTTAAACCCCAGCATATCGTATTTGATACATGTGTTTTGTGAGGGTTTTTTTTTTTGTGTGACATCTATATCATCAGCGTGACTTTTTTTTACCCTCAAAAATGATGTAAATTACATGACATTTTTAATGACTAAATTGCAAAAATATGGCTTATGTAGCAAGTGTGTTACAAATTAAAACTCATGTATGCAGATTAAAATTTGATATATTCTTATATTTTGTCTAAAGGTAAAAAAAAACCACTCCATTATTCAAGTCAAAATTCAAGATTTTTGGCAGTTATTTCATGGTTCAGGTTTTAAAGGGTTAAACCTCTCAGCGAGCCATGCTTTCAGTTGCCACAATGCTAAGAGCTCATTGATTGATCAATGCATTTCTCTCCTTTCATGCAGGTGAGCCCAGGAAGCATGACCCGAGCTTCAGGGGCCCAATCCAGAACAGGTGAGACAGAGATGTGGCTGTTACACTGTGCAGATGACTACAGAGGACTCCATTAACCATTTGAACTCTCTCCACTGTAGGGGCTGCACAGACATTGTTTGCTGCATTCTGTTCATTATTGCCATACTTGGTTACATTGCAGTAGGAATACTCGGTAAGGAGACAACACAGAAGCACAAATATCCAAACTGAAAGCAAGTTTCATAACCTTTATATCTCTGTTTTTTTCTTCTTTTCTAACCCAGCCTGGTCCCAGGGTGACCCAAGAAAGGTGATCTACCCCACAGACAGCCGAGGACAGTTCTGTGGGCAGGCTGGCACTCCACTCGAGTGAGTTGCTTTCCGAAGTATAGATAAAATGGTCTCTGCTGCACGATTTTTCTTAATTTGAGTGTGATCTTTAGGGTATTTTGAAAGTTTGAAAAGGGTGGAGTGCCCACTACGGGCCGGGGACGAGTTCCTGCCCCAAGTGGAGGAGTTTAAGTATCTCGGGGTCTTGTTCACGAGTGATGGGAGAAGGGAGCCGGAGATCGATAGACAGTTTATTGAAATTGAAACAGTTGAAACGGTTTATTGAAATGTGTTAACATACATGGATGTATATAAGACAAAAGACAGAGTTTGTACAACTCAAAACAAGCTTGTTGGTGTTCGGTGTGTTGTCCCTAAAGATACATATATTAATTTATTTTTGTCTGTTTCTTTCATGTTCATTCCTTGAGTTAGGTGCCTTTTTTATGCCTTGATGGTTCATAGCCTAGTGTTAAGTGGCCAGAGAGTCTGGCTCCTTGGAAGCAGAAATGAAGGGTGGCTCAAAAGTTTTGGGTGGTTCTTTCGATTCCTCAGGCTTTTTTGTGTACCACCATCTAAAAAGATATACAACTGGTTTGAAAGCTTAGCTAGCTAACTTAATTAGGCAACATTAATACAATCAATTATGACTAACAAGTTAACTCAAAGGTTTTCCTGGCATGTTTACATTAAGTTGGTTCCCAAAAAGTAGATTCTGTTCATCTGGACGTAGCGTTTTCAGTGGGAGAAACGTTTCGTCCCTCATCCAGGTGACTTCTGCAGTCCCAGCTGAAAAGAATAAATTTTTGGGAATTTCCTTACCTGGTACTATTATTCATTTGTGTTATTAGTGTTATTATTATTATTATTATTATTTGTATACTTTTTTTGGGTTGTTTCAATAGCCACACCATGTATTTTTGGAATGTGTAAAAGTAAACTGGAAAGTACCTAGCACATGTTAGCCAATTGAAAGGCAGGACCGCTGAATAAACACTGTTGTGACAGCATTGTGTTGTCCCTGGACAAAAATAGTTAATTAGAAATTTGTGTACATTTCTGTGCACTTTCTTTGGTCTTGTTCCCAACAGGAAGAAGCCCTTTTTGTTCTACTTCAACATCATGAAGTGTGCCAGTCCCATGGTGCTGCTGGAGTTCCAGTGCCCAACCACACAGGTGCCAACTCCTCTGTTGATGAATCTTTATAATATTTATTTAAACAAAAAGAAAAACACAATATACACTATGTGCTTTGTCGTGAAGGCTTAAAATTATGAGTGTAGAGTTGGGGCAGAGTTGGCTTTTTGCTTTTGTTTACAGATGAGGATAAAAGTTACTCTCCCAGCCCCCTATCAGCAAGTTTTCTTTAGAAAAAATACATTTGTGATTGGCCAAAATAACAGAATTATTTCAGAAAACAAAATGAACAGGGTCAGTGTTTTTAGGCCTGGAAAAACTGACCTTTTTATTGAGCCATAGTACAAACCACTACTGTGCTTTGTAATCCTCAATGCTTAACAACATCAACTGAAAACTGAGGGTTATTTTCCAATTTACGCACAATTTAAAAACTCCAACCTGGGTTTGAACTGTTCTTTTGGAACATTTTATTGTCAAAAACAAAAGAAATCAGTTTAAGCTTAAAGAATTATTGACGCTAACAAAACAGGAGGTGGATATACAAAGATCACAGCAGTTCCAGGTATCACAGGTTAGAGTGAGAAGTGTCATAAAGAAATTCAAAGAGCCACACAGTAGAAAACAAGCCTGCCAGTAGTACGAAATGAAAGCTTTCAAAGAAAAGACTCTCACCAGTGCACCCCCGAACAACGATAACTAGAACCCTGTACAGGAACGGATGGGAGGAAAAGCCTCACTTCTGTAGAAGAGACGGCTAAGAACAAGCGGAAGAAGGATTATTATTACATTATTTCTTTGACTGCTTTTGTGATGGGAATGTGGCCTGACTGTCCTGCTGTCCATGTTCATCTTTAGATGTGTGTGGAGAAGTGCCCTGATAAGTTCATGACATTAATCAAAGCATACGCTGTCAATAGTGACTTTGCTTACTATAAAAACTTCTGCGAAGAAGGAGTGACCAACACAATGGTGAGTTGTACTTGAAGTCTTCTGTACTATCTCGGGTATCGATATATTCGAATGCTTTCTACAGACCTTCACTTGTGTTTTGGATATACTGTGTTTTTAGGGTGTTGCAGAAATCCTTAAGCAACGTCTCTGTCCTGCAATGCTGCTTCCCAGCAAACCCTGTAAGTAGAATCTCTAAATATGTGTAAATGATTCTTTTTCAAAGGAATTTTAGGGGAGTGGAATATTCATGCAATGATAGTATCATTGCATGATTCATGACCTTTGACCTTTACAAAAAGGCAAGCAGAGAGACCGTCAGATTTATACACACAAACAAACCCATCTTACCCCATTTTTAACAACTGGACAACATAAATTGGATCTGATTCAATCACATCATTTGTGCTGCTTATCTGCACTGTACTTGAACTTCTTTATCTTTCTGCACTCCTTCCTGGCTGAAGAATTATAAAATATTTTAGTACTGTAGTTTAACAAATATCTAGTACAAATTATTTACTATTAGCTGAAAATAGTAAAATAGTAAAAATAATTAATTTACAAAAAGAAGCCAAAGAAGCCCCACTATGAAAACATCTCACTACACATTGTTACATCCTGTGAGGCTGTGGGAGTACCTCTGCCTGGCGTTCTTTTCATTTCACCTGGATCAAACTGTTACTGGCCCCCCACCCTCATCGCCTAGCTTTTATGTGGGGACGTAACACACAGAAAACTGTATTATTCTTTACACATGTAGGGAAACACATTTCATTTGTTTGTTTTTGTATTTTTGACAATGACACGTTTCTCTACTTTTCTTTCAGTCACCCGCAGGTGCTTCCCAGCTTTGGGCATGAAAGGAGGGGTGATAACTGTGGGAAACAGCTCCACATTTAATGATGGAAATGAAATTAGAAACGCCCAAGACCTTGTTGCTGGTGTACAGTGAGTATACATCAGTAGAATTTTGCGACACAGCGAGTTTTCAACTACATTACTCTCTCTTGATCTGTGTCAGCCGGCCACTACAAATAAAGTGTGATGAGAAATTCCTGAAGCAGATAAACACACGGGGCTCTCTCCACAGGAATGCCACTGTGGTAATGGAAGCTCGTCAGGTGGTGATGAAAATCTTTGAGGATTTCACACATTGCTGGTACTGGATCCTCTTGTAAGTAATAAACTCTCCTTTTTCATCCTTGTCAGCTCTGTTTGTATTGCAAAGAGATTTTCCTTAAATTGACCGTACCTCCTCTTTGCAGGGGATTGGTTATAGCCATGATCATCAGCCTCGTCTTCCTCATCCTCCTCCGCTTCCTGGCAGGGATCATGGTCTGGGTCATGATTGCCATGTTGGTAGCGGTGATAGGCTATGGTAAGGGACAAGGTGGAAAATATCATTGTGGTTCATAATGGCTTAGTAATCTGGTCCTACCCAGAAAGCAGGTCCAGACTAGCTGGTCAGTAAGTAAATCATGAGTGTCAGTATAACCGTGAGCATGAATTCAGCACAGCAGGAATATTAATGCAGGGTTGGTAACTTTTGACTGGGGATAAATTGTGAAAGTCCTTGTTGTCAGAAAACTGTAGTCAGTGTGGAAAAAATGCAAACTGAAGGAATTTGCATGAAAGGAAGATGCAAAGTTTGAGTGAAGTGACCCACAGCTGTGATGTTAGATTTTCTATTTGAATAAAAATGTGCCATTTGTTTAATTGAGTGTGAAGAAAAACACACCGTCACTTCCTGTCATATCCTATCCTGATCCTTTCACACTAAAAGGAATGAGAGTATGAGACACCTTTGGGGGAAAGACATGTGTCATGCAAAAACAAACAGCTGGCAATGCTGAATTTTGCATGTGCTTACCAAGCGTATATTAAAAAAACACACATTCATTATTGTGGGAAAAGGATTTTCTCCATCATTACCAAGTCATTGATCATTTCACAGATTACTTCAAAGTATCTCTAAACAGTGCTGTTCACACTTGGCAAGCTTAGCGCAGAGTTCAGTTTCAGTGTCTCAAAAAGTAATTAACTTTTATTTTAACTGCTTTAAGCTTTTCTTTTTAACTCCTACCATCCACATAACCCTCAATCTCTGCTACCTTGCTACTCTCCAGTGTACTACTGAAGAATCACTGACAGACTGATTTTACAGTCAAAGAAAAAGCAATGCAAGTTAGTATTTTTATGGCTTTAACAGACGACCATAAGACCGTCAACTGAAAACAAATCTGTTCTAAAGGAGTGGAATTGAAAAATGAATGTGGAGTGTTAGCAAAACAACTAGTTAAACTTTGCAGACTTGTTGAACCAAGTAATTTCTCAGATAGATTAATCTGAAAGTGCTGATGTTGTCTCCTCTCCATCAGCTCATCCACAACGGCATGTGGGGAAAAAAACCCACAAAAACCAAAAAAACAGAAATTAATACTCATTTGAAAGAGAGGTGTGCTGCTGTTTCCAATGGGATACAAGGAAAGTGTGCTACCAGGGATAAAAGAAAATTGTGGCCACAAGATGGAAAGATTGATGAAAATAGGCTAGGCTAATGTGAAGATAAACATCACTGTAAAATGATCTGCGGCAAATATAGTAAGAATGTTCTTAAGAATGATCTAGTATCCTACTTGACCTTTGATTTTACTTATCCAACATTTCTGTGCCTTAATTGGCTTTTTTTTTATTGACTGAAAAGAATACAGTTTTTTCAGGGTCAGCAGGGGGCAGAGAGAGAAGTCTGCTGAGGTAGATGTCAAAGTTATCATTGTAACCGATTCACAGTTGATCTGACTCTTGAAACGAAAGAGATCTCCTCGTCTGTTTGGAAGCAAACCCAAAAGGAAATAAGGCCCCTTTTTCCACCTACTTTCCCAAAAAATTTATTTGCTTTTCTGTGTGCTTCCTGTTGCTGATTAGGTATCTTCCATTGCTACATGGAGTATGCAGCCCTGAAAGGAGAGGCCGGCGCTAATGTGACTATCAAGGATCTGGGCTTCCAGACAGATTTCACAGTCTACCTGCAAATTAGACAGACCTGGCTGGCCTTCAGTCAGTATACATCCTCAAAATCTCCATGGATTATCATCCACACTCAACATATGTTGATTAAAACTTGAGACACTCACGTGATTTTTCTCTTTTTCTTCCTCTTATCTCCTTATAGTTATTATTCTAGCCATTGTGGAGGTCATCATCATTTTGCTGCTCATCTTCCTTTGGAAGAGGATCCTCATTGCCATTGCTCTTATTAAAGAAGCCAGCAGGTCAGCCTTCATTTTAGAGCTGTAGCAAGTAGAAGAGAAACAGATCAATAAAACTTAGACGTTATATTGTTTATTTTAGAGTGACTCACAGTAATGGATTTAAGCGCTGCATTAAGGGTGCAGATAAAGAACCTGATACATAACTGTGAAGGTAGATGTTTGCATTTGCTTTTACGACTGATGCTGTGATCCTGTTTTCAGAGCAATTGGACATATGTTGTGTTCCCTTTTCTACCCACTGTTTACATTCCTCCTCCTGGCTGTGGTCATTGCCTACTGGGGAGTAACTGCTGTGTATCCTTTCAAGCTATTGTTCGTGGTAGTGTTGTTATTTAGGGTTGATGAGGAAATGAAAAATACAACTTTGAACTGTTTTGTTTTTTTTAATGTTCTTGAAGAATTTAAACTTTTAAACTGACTTAAAAAATTAATGTGTCTATAAATGAACTGAATGAACAGTTGAGTTAAAGATACCTTAGACAGAGTCTGTGCAGGGATGATGAACAGGGCTGGTAAATTCACATTAAAAGCTAAGGTTGAAGTTTGATCATGCATACTCTGCAGCTGCGTGATTAAAGTTCACTGCATTCATGAACAAATAAACCCAATCAAAACAGAGGAACATGCATATTATTCTTTATTATTAGTAGTATTATTATACACTCATAATTGTCAGTTTTGTTATCAGTTAATGATGATAAGCCTTAACAGAACTGATCAGTTTCTTGTCCACGTCCAATCAACCGATCTACAAAATCTTCAATGAGACAAATTGTGACTACTCGAGACAAACGTGTGACCCAGCTGTAAGTTTTTCTCCTCTTTATTTGTGTGTTAAATTTTCATCTCATTTCACTTCCATGCATGCCGCTTGGACTTAACGTTTTGGATTTGAGAAATACATTTGCGGCGTCACTAAATTAACCGTGTCTTTGTTCAGAACTACTCGACGAGTCCCATGAAAGCCCAGTGTGCTGACTCGAAGTGCCTTTTTGCTTTCTACGGTGGAGAGACCCCTTACCACAAATACCTAATTGCCCTGCAGTTCTACAACGTCTTCCTCTTCTTTTGGTGTGCCAATTTTGTCTTGGGACTGGGACAGATGACCCTAGCCGGGGCGTTTGCTTCTTACTACTGGGCTGCCAAAAAGCCAGATGACATTCCTGCTTTCCCAGTGTTTTCTTCTTTTGGGAGATCTCTCAGGTTTGTATCTGTGTTGGGTGAAGACTTTTAGTAAAACGGTCCTCTGACATTTGCTTTGCCGGGTCCTGAAACATACTTCCTGTTTTCATTCTTTAATTGTTTTAGGTATCACACAGGGACTCTGGCATTTGGCTCCCTTATCCTCTCCATCATCCAGATCATCAGGGTTTTGCTGGAGTATCTGGACCACAAGCTAAAAGGTTTGCTACATTTTATGGAGTCATAAATGACTCCATAAAAGTGACCTATTTAAGTCTAACATCTGTTAAAGGTTGATTGCTCTCATTCACAGGAGCCCAAAATAAGTTTGCAAAGTTCCTGTTGTGCTGTCTGAAGTGCTGTTTCTGGTGTCTGGAGAAGTTTGTCAAGTTCCTGAACAGAAATGCGTATATTATGGTACGTGTTTCAGTTATTATTTATTCAAGTCTCTGAGCTGGCGTGATTAAAAGCTTGGTACTTATAATGTTAAATGTTATCTTGATGTAATGACTGCATTTGGCCTCTAGTCGGCGATCTATGGGAAAAACTTTTGCACCTCTGCCAGAGACGCCTTCTTCCTCCTCATGAGGAATGTGATCAGGTGAGTGTAAAATCATCACCTCATCAGAAAGCATTGTGTTAATTGTTTAATCGTATAAAGCTGACTGGAGTAAATGCCTGTTTTTAAATCCCTGCAGGGTGGCTGTGCTGGATAAAGTGACAGATTTCATTTTATTTTTGGGCAAACTGCTCATTGTTGGGCTTCTGGGTGAGTCTGCTTTTTGTTTATGTATTTTTTTTTCTCCTTCATGTTGACCATATCAGACTAAACCAGCATTTCCTGGAAAGATTGTGTCGTCCCATCGCTGGATGACCGATTCAACTCACAGTCCAGAAATGTCTGCATAGCAGATGAAATCCTGCAGACTTACTGGTTGTGGTGTTTTAGGATTTGTTTATTTTTTGAAAGTAGGGTTTAATTGGAGCTTTAAATAGGACTGGATCACTTCCACTGATTTATAATGTACAACATTATTTATAGCTAATAGAAATTGTAATCATCAGCTCAGACTGTGTAGTGTACATGGGAATTGTATTTATATATTTTTTGGGGTTTCTCTCCACAGGGGTCTTTTCCTTCTTCTTCTTCTCTGGGAGAGTGAAAGCCTTTCAGAATACAGCTCCAACCCTGAACTACTACTGGGTACCCATCCTGGTAAGCAGGACTGAATTTCTAATTTTTTTTTTTTTCTTTTCTTGTCTTTAATTGTTTTGTTGAAGGATAATGTTTGTGTGGTTGTTGTCATCTCTATCAGACTATGGTGGTTTGCTCATACCTCATCGCCCATGCATTCTTCAGCGTGTACTCCATGTGCGTGGACACTCTGTTCCTGTGTTTCTGTAAGTGACACATTCTCAGTCAGTTGTGACATCTGTATGTAATTCAAATTATCCACGCAAACGTCCAAACAGGTTCTTACGTGAAAGGGGGAAGAAAAAAAACTGTGGAGGAAGGGCGTAATGTTAGGAATGAGCGAAATGAAAACTTTTCTCACTTTGCTTCTGGTGTTGGGCTGTCACTAATTTTAAATTGCATGAAATACGGTGTGCTACATTTCAAAATAACAGCCTTCTCCTGTTAGCCTGAAAAATGTTGCTGCTTGGTGATGAAGTGATACTTTGGGTGCTTTTGCTTGCTTGCCATTTGACTTTCTTTCTCTTTTTGTGTCTCCTTTCCTATTTCTCACTTCCTAATTCGCCCCCTCTTATTTCCCTTCCCACTTGCCCTCTAACACCCTGGTGTATACATAAATTTTTTTCACATTCACCCATTAACACAAAATAATCAAAAACACGATAAGGTGAAGACCTGGAGCGCAATGACGGCTCAGCTGCGAGGCCTTATTACATGTCGCCAAGTCTTCGTGAGATTCTGTGGAAGAACAAGGAGGAGGATCCATCTGAGCCCTCCGCTCAGCAGCAGCAGCAACACGATGAAGACACCCAGCTGAAACAGGAGGCTCAGGAGGAGGACACGGCTTAGAGAGGAGTTTGTGGGGGGAAAAACTCAGATTTTCCACTTAATTACAGGCAGAGCAAAATCCAGAAAGTCTTTTTATTTTGAACCCTTTCAAAGTATGAGCTGGGACTCTGTCATCTGCTCCCTTAACTTCTCTCAGATACTAGTACAGCTACAAAACACCACGCCTTAAAATGGCAGGGATTCAGCATTTTGCTTTAGTCCACTTTGTGCAGATGCAACCCTGCAAGTTTCAAAATGAATGAAGGAAGTTATTCAGTTGAGAGTGATTTCAGCATCCTCCTGAGGTAATAGGACGTTGAACGTTCCCTAAATGGATTATCAAGGCTTCGTTTAGTTTGCCTCTGGTGGTCTTTAAAAACTGTTACATCCGACACTAAGTAGCGTTTTATACAGCAGCGGATACCACATTGTCTGCAGTAGAATTTCACAAACTCACAGCAAATACTGTCGAATACTATTTGTTATGTTTAGAAAACACATTTAAGAGTAAAGCACGTGGCTTCATTTTTTCAGTGGTTCTTTTACTCGCAAGGCATCACCACAGCGATCCAATCTGCATATTTGATCTTGTGGATTTTGACACTGGATGCCCTTCCTGATGTAACCCTGCTAGGAATTTGTCTCCTCCCCAACTGGTGATCTTTTGCTTGTTAGGCAAATATTTTAACCAAAAGTAAAGTAGACTGCCTAAAAGTAAGCCTAAAGCATGGATTGTTGCTAGGAAATAATGGTAATAATAAATCGAACAAACAAACACAAAAACAAACAAAATCACACTACTGTAGTACAGTGTAGGACAAGAAAACTCTGGTTACAGCTGGTAACCAAACCCTGTAGAAGCTATAATCAGAGTTTTTTAAACAAACTACTTTCTTATGTAATAGGGTAGTTTAATAGAGTTGCATTTGTGTCTTAAACCTGCTTTTATCCTAGCGGCAAGTAGGGGGCAGCGACTCAAGTTATATGGAAGTCTGTGGGAAAACAAGCCTACTACTTACTATATTTATGACCTCAGTAAATGCAATCCTCAAACTGATGATGTCATCAGTGGCTAGTGTGATATCATGATGAGTACAGAAAAATGATTAAACGACTAATTATGGTCCAAGTTACTCTAACAGACTTGAAGAGATCCACCCTCACACTTCATATCTTGTTAAAAAAAACAAACAAACAAACATTATACGATGGGAAGGGCCAAAAGTTGGGGTTCCAAAAACCAAAAGGTGATGTCATAGTGGCCATGCTCGTGTTTTATATACAGTTTGTGATTGTTTCTAAAATAATTCAAATAAATCAGCACAACAGACATTATTCGTCACTATGGAGGTGGGGCTTAGCGAAGGGTCAACTTCAGCAAACAGAAGGGCTTTACAGCAGGCAGGAGTTTGGTATGTGTTTAATTGTTGTATGAATTTTGTGATACGAGTGATGTCACCTCACACTCAGAGATTTATTGACACTCGCTTCATCCTGTTTAGCGTGCTGAAAGCTGGCAGATGTTTTATGGCTATTGAAAATGTGAAACTTCAGTGAACATCTGGGTAAATGGCTCCCTATGAGGTGACTTCATATTTCTAACTCGGCGTTGCCTCCATAAAACATGCTCGCACTGCCACTAGCTAATAGAAACTTGAAGCCAATCATGTGCCTAATTGACAGCATTATTAATGTTTTGCACATTAGTGTTTACAGTTGATGCAAACAGAATCTTTTTTTAATACACTCAGTGAAGCACTTTAATCTATGTTCACTGTAAGCCATAACACATTTGTCTCTGTTTAATGAATGCTGGTGAGTCTTTTAGTCATGCAATTTTGTTTTGTTTTTTTTAAACTGTAAATTAGCGTAGCTTTGCCTTTTAAAATATCTTTTTTTTAATGACTGTGTGTGTTTTGCAGTGCAGTTGGTTTAATAAACACAATTTAACCAGTGATATCTGTTTAATTAAAAAAACCAGATGCTTTTTTTTGGGTTTGTTTGTTTGTTTTTGCAGAACTGAAAGGTTTTCATTCAGATTTCCTACCTGTCAATATACATCGCAAAATTTGATGCTCATTTAAACTTATGCCAAGTCCGCGAAAGCATGGTTTAATGTCCTTTTCTTTGACCTCTTTCCAGTGGAGGATTTGGAGAGGAATGACGGCAGCCCGGAGAGGCCCTACATGATGTCTGAGAACCTCCTCAAAATCCTGAAAAAGAAGAACAAGACTGACCCAGCTCAGTAGACCACTCCGTGTAGCGGGGTGAGATCTTGGGCTAAAGACAGCTGGGGTTTTGTTGAGTTTGAAGTTGGATAACAAGTTCATGTCATCGATTAGAAGCTGTGTCTGCTGAATTTGGTTATTACTAAATGCTTCATAAGCTCTTCTGAACCTCAGTTTGGACACAGACCTAAAAATGTCCACATTCCCACATCTTGTTTCTTGCTGAAAGCATCATGAAGTCTGGCAGGTTTTGTGGATGTTAAAAACGTAGAGACTGCACGTTTATCAACTGAAAAAGAAAAATGAACAAACATGTTAGTGGTATGTAGAATTCTTGTTTTTTTTTTTTTTTTGTCATGTTTTACTGTTAATATTTGAGTAGTACGGGAAGGTACATATAAAGGGTCATCTGCTACAGTTTTGTAATATGATCGGTTTTTATTCTTGTATTTTTTTTTTAAAAAAATATCTATAAATATGTATAACTTGTGTCATATTTGAATTAACAGTTAACCATGTAGGCACCAAAGCCATTACCCCAGCAGTCAGGTATACATAGTGCTTTTATACCACTTTGCCTAAAGCATCTGGTGCTGTGGCGTTCCTGTCATCAGCAGCCATATGGAAATATAACCAAAAGCAAAAAAACCTTGTATCTTGATAGATGTGCTGGTTCGGATGAGGGGATTTTTTTTGTCATTTTTGTGAAGCTGAACTGTTTTAAAATAAAGCATAGTTTTCTATAAAAATCCATGTGACTCTTTATGTATTCATATACCGAAGGCTTTAAGGTGCTCCCAGTATTTCAGCATTGGTGTCATTCTGATAGACCTGATGTGACTCGTGTCTTTCAGGTACTGGGGATAAGCTCAGGTTAGTTTCCTTTCTAAGCTTAAATGGTCACACTTTCTGTTCCCTGCTGGAACTGAGAGTGAGACCATCCCCCCCCCCCTCAAAAAAATTCTATATATTGATTTTGAATAAATCTTTACAAAACTAACATATAAATGTCACATCTTTCCTTTTAGCTTTAAACTTAGAAAACATAGTTACAGTTTGTAGAAATCCATAAAATCCTAGCTGCTGTTCTACGTTTGACCATGAGAGGGTGTGCATATCCTCACTACAGGTCATTCAGCGTGACACAGTAAAATCACCTGCAGTGTGTAAATGCTGGCTTTACGTAAGTGTCTAATGACTAATGCGGGAAAGTCTGTCAGGGTTTGATAAAAATCAACTTTCTAGGAGTCATATCAACAACTCTGCAGTAATGGAATATGGCTGAATACTTTTAAAATACTCCGTTACGGTTCAGAGACAGGACCTTCAGTCAGAGAGCTGCCAGTAGACACACTTCTGGAAATGTTTTAATGCAGAGTGTTTTCGAACAGGTAACAGGATGCCCTTGATTTTGAATGAATACACTGCTAAAAAAAATTAAAGGAACACTTTGAAAACACATCTGCTCGTTATGGGGAAAAATCATGTTGCGTATCTATATTAATAATTTTGGGGGGAAATTTGTAGGAAGGAATAGGATGCCACAATGTTTGATGAAAATGACAGTTATCAAATTATAGAGGGCTGAATTCAAAGATAAAGGAGGGAACAAAATGACATGGCAGGCTCGTCCTTTTTGCTGAAATTTCACTGAAACTCAAGAATGGTTCTCAGCAGTGTGTATGGTTCCCACGTGCTTGGGCTCCTCCCAGATCTGGACCAGGGCAACACTGAGCTTCCAAACAGTTTGACGTGCAACCGAAACATGATGTCGCAGAGTTCTTCTGTTGGATTTAGGTCAGGTGATTGTGGGGTCCAGTCAATGGAGTCAGTTTCGAACTGCCTGCATACTTTTGTCACATGAGACTTGGCATTGTCACACACCACGAGGAATCCAGGACCCACTGGACCAGTTGAGGGTCTGACACTGGGTCCAGATATTTCATCCCAATATTTAATAGCAGTCAGGGTGTCGTTGCCCTGCAGAGGTTTGTGTGTCCCTCCATGGATATGATTCACTGTCAGTGACCTATCACCAAACCGGCCATGCTGAACAATTTTACAAGCCACATAATGTTCTCCAAGGCTTCTCCAAACCCTTTCATGGCTGTCACGTGTGCTCAGGGTGAACTTGGTCTCATCTATGAAAAACAAAGGGTGCTATTGGTGGACCTCAATAATTCTTGTATTCTATGGCAAATGCCAGTTGGACTCCATAATGCCGGGCAGTGAGCACAGGGCACACTACAGGACATCAAGCCCTCAGGCCACCCTCATTAAGTCTATTTCTGATTGTTCGGTCAGAGACATTCACACTAGTGTCCTACTGGAGGTCATTTTGACTTGATGCTGTACTTGAACCTGTATTTTTTTAAGCATTGTACTTTCTTGTTTTAAAGAATTCAAAGACTTCTCAAGCTGTGTTTATGGTGCATGCACTTTGTCACGTTGAGTCTGAGCCACTGCCTCAGTGTCGCTTCCCTCCATTTTCAGTACAGCTCCTCTGTGACACTAAGTAAATGTTTGAATAATGCCAATACTGAGTGAACTCCAAGTGTCACACCTTTCCTTCAAACCTGTCATCCACTGCAGCGCTACATGCTAGAGTTTGATAAGAGTTGGGAGTTCGCCTTCTAATCGGAAGGTTGCCGGTTCGAGCCCCGGCTTGGACAGTCTCGGTCGTTGTGTCCTTTGGCAAGACACTTCACCCGTTGCCTACTGGTGGTGGTCAGAGGGTCCGGTGGCGCCAGTGTTCGGCAGCCTTGCCTCTGTCAGTGCGCCCCAGGGTGGCTGTGGCTACAATGTAGCTTGCCATCACCTGTGTGTGAATGTGTGTGTGGATGGGTGGATGACTGGATATGTAAAGCGCTTTGGGGTCCTTAGGGACTAGTAAAGCGGCTATACAAATACAGGCCATTTACCATTTAGAGTTTCCACATGGACGATGAGTCATTCAAGGAAAGACATATCATACATGGTCGGAGAGACCACATGCAAAGAGGATTGAGATGCAAAATTCAGTGATATGAAGCCATGACACTATAAACACCCGTGACACATGCTACGACGCAGAACCGGAATACCATCTGCTACCTTCAAATCCGTGCATCATTCTGTTTCTGAGTCAGCAGGCACAGAGGGCAGGTTTGTGGTATTTCTTGGCCAAGACCTCGCTTATGTTACATTACCCATGACCGACTGATTTGATCTCCTCGTGGTTTGCGTAGATGCAGCGCGCTGATTCAGTAACCCACCTGACTTGCGGCATAATACATCATGCTCTATGAATACTTCCAGGGAACCTGGGTGAACAATGATTAAGACCTCTGATCCCACAAGATGCTGTTTTCATAGCGGTTTCACGTCAGAGGTCCTGAAGTGGTCAACAAAGCTTGTTTTTTTCCTTCCAGAGAACACCTGAACAGCCCGAGAGTCATTTACAAGAGTGGTGGAGTCCTTAAGACTGACTGGTGTGCACTCACCGTCTCTGTGTGAGCCTTCTAACCCTGAACAATGTAACACAGCTTTTTGGTAATCCCTCAGTCGTTTCTAGTTCAAGCGCTTTCCCCCCCCCTATTAAAAAAAGGCTGAGTAAAGATAATGAGGGCCGACTTCCTTGTTTTGTGTGTGGGATGCAAGCTAATATATTGCAGGGTATGTCATTTACCATTGTAAAGTTATAAATGCATAGAAACTGTGAAGAACCACTTTACTGAATCGGTTAGCTCTTATAGAGTAACACCTTTGTAAAGGTAAGCTCAGTATTTCACTGTTATAGCTGTTCTAAATGCACAAGTTCACCATTTGTGGCTATAAAAGATTGAGACTAAATCCAAAATGGTGAACATGCTGTTGATAAACAACACACGTCCATTCCAGCTCCTGTCATGAGGTGATGCTTAGGGTGACATTCAAAAGGTATTCGTCTCAGGTGCTATGCAGATAAGAAACAGTCTGTCTGCATTCCGTACTGCTGCTGCACCTTTTGTGCGCAAGTCAACCTCTGAAGTCTTTGAATTCCTAAATCCAGAGTCTTCTATTAACTACCTGTAAATGTGTTTCTTTATGATGGGTTGAGGGACCCACTGGCCAGCTTTTCTTTATCCATTACTGCTTCGCAATATCATAAATCAATCAGGTATCTGGAGTCGAGAAGCAAATGCTGCTCTTTTAGCCCAATCATTAATCAAGACCGTACCGTACCCCGTATTCCAGATCAAAGCTTTTCCAGGAGAAACCCAGCTGCCAATCTCAGCAACATTGGTTGTTCTCTTTCTCAAGCATCACCACAATTCACTAGTTCCTAGTAAGACATCCAAATTGTTACTAAATGCAGTTGTTAGGAACCCTAACCCAATGACACTGAATGAGTGTAAATACAAAGCTTCCATTTCAGAAGCTAATAGAGGAAATCTCAAGTTTAAATTGTGATACAGTCTGCCAGACATACTTCAGCATGCAAGAAGATATGCATAGGTCTGAAGAAGTCTACAGGGGGCTGTTTTGTGAAGCGATGAGCTTGAACTGGATATATTTGGACCTGTGCATCACCACTTAGTAAGGACAAGTCATGTATGACATCACCCCAACAGTCTGCATGGAAGTGGGTAGACCCAGTTGAGAAAGGATTTTATTTTCCAAGAATGGGTTAGC